TATTGAGATTTTTGGATATCATATATACATTGTTGGCTATTAAGAAGTTATGTGAATCAGTGAAGTGTGGCGATTCGTTTTTCATTGCGTATTCTTGTATTTGAAATTTCCATTGGTGAGTTTTATTTGATTTACATATTCATTTGAGTTGTCTCTGTAAATTAAGGGTTTTAGTCACTGTCATAATCATGATATTAAATTAAACTTGTGAGAAGCATCATATTTGAATCCATTGGTTCAATTTGATTAGGACACTGACATAAATTGAAATTGTCAGACTAGTCCCTGATATTTACGTATAATTCAAGTTTAATCACATCCAGATGCTTACTTCATGTCTATCAGTTTTATCGCTGTTGGGAAGAAGCGTTTTTTCACTGTATCATTTTTGGATGGCCTAATCTTCAATGTTTCTACCATTTTATCGGTTTGAAGAAAATAATCCTGAAGTGACGATTATGACTGTCCATCCACCATTGGAACACAAAACAGTAATACAAGCCACCTTATTTCCTTTCGTGGTGAATAAAGTTCGGAATATGGGCAATACAACGCATCGTTTAACAGTTTGGTTTGGAACTGACCACTCCACACTTCTTTAAAGATTAGATCTGCCTTTCTTGGAGCAACGTAGAGTTTCATCAAGTATTGTTATGTTAAACAAAATTTTGCATTGTTCCATTGATGCACCCTCGTTACTTGAACAAATCGACTTCAACGTACCTCAAGCTATTACACGTAGACAGATCACTTTCTACACCCCTTTACTAGATCCAACCTTGGAAAAGTGTCTGCTATAAATTTGATGTGTCAAAATTATAATACCCACTGAAGTCAATGCGATATTAATTTCGATCCACTGTAGACCATATTATCCAAAATTGAACAAATCATCATATAGATTACTGTCTTCATGTTATTTACAAGTAATAATTAATCAATATGTCATCTTTTTCTCTTAATTCGACCATATATGTGAATTTATTTCTTAATTTGTCAAATCCTCAATATGTCAATCTTTTGTTGTATATTTAAAGTAGCCTTTATTTATACTGCATTATTATATTAATTACACAGCTCTACAAAAAAAAAATTGTGTTGCCCTGGATATTTTTGCAAATTTTTATGTTTTCGAGTGCCTAAATCACGAATATATTTATGAAAGTACTGTCACATCTTTACATGAAATATTAATTATTTCCCAAATCTAAGTATATTTTCCTATCTTCAATATGATAATGATGATTACAATCTACGGAAATAAAAAAAAATACTGTCAAGTATAATGAATGAGTCAATTTCGGTCCCGACGAAACTAACGCTATAAATACCCAACATTCGCAGTTACATTCAATATCTTACGTTGGTGTGGAGGCTAAGGACAATGTCTACGGCGCGGACTATCCAGGTTCGAATCTCATAACTATAAACTATTTTTAATTGAAATCAGGTGACTGGAACGTGACAAGGGGGCCGAGGGGTTAGGTGGGGTACCAAGAAGGCCTGAGCAGTGATGTGGAATACTAAGGGGGGCCGAGGGCAAGGGGGTCCACGTTTAAATTGCTACGATACTCGTTCCATCCTGCGTCGATTTCGATGACGTTTCCCCCCACTCCCAAGTGGTCCAGAATCCGCCTTGTTCATCTACTTCCATCCTTCGAAAACCCCATCCCAGTACGACGGGAAAATGTCTATCGACTTTTTCTACGATTTCTATGTCTTCCGATATGAAAATTTTGTATGGAAAATGACTAGTAATTATCTGACATTGTCGAGACATTGGTTGAGTACTACTCGAAACTATATAAGGGCTGTCAGCTCCTGCCGGCTGGAATAATCCATTTGAGTGAGGAAGAGCACATAAATTTACTCAGGGAGAAGAATGAATGCCACCAAATTAATTCTTTGGCATTAGGTTCGTTAACGGTTCATGAATAAATACTGTTATCAACAATTCTTACCAAAAATGAATAAATAAAGTTATAAACATGTTTCACCAACAAATCATCGCGAGTGACCAAACGTCCCGTTTTGAATGGGACTGTCCCCTTTACAGACTTGCTGTTTCATCTCGCAACTCTCTGGGCTTGAGTCTTTACAACAAACTCCATACTGATATCAAAAATTCCAATCTTTATCATTTCAAACGTGAAGTGAAAAATATCTTATTAGAGCATAGTTGAAGTGGGATAATATTTGAAAGCACCACTTCTCACGTCTTATCAACACAATTAATCTCTTTGTTTATTAGTAAATTACGTTAGGCTTTTTTGTACTTTTACTACATTAAACTTGATCGAAAATAGTCATTTTGTAAATTTTTAATTTTATACATTGAATTATTTATGTAAACATATTAGTATATACACTTTTTGTATGACCTGCTACAAATGCAATGTAACGTAGTCAAATAAACTTATTTACTTACTTACTATTCGACCATCTGTCCCGTTGTCCCCAAATAATAATATGGGACGTAAAATAGTCCCGTTTTCTAAAATCATCTCTAAAAAAACCGTTGATAGGTATCGGATGGAGCCCATACGTGGAGTTCTATAATATCTGCTACCTTTAGATTACGAAAGCATTATTGTAAAAATATATTCATTTTTTTATATTTATACGGTTGGAGTTGAAGCTCTAAAGGAATTTTGTGCTGAAGCTGAAATAGAACATCACCAAATGCTCGGCTACAGCCAATCTCGCTGACTTGCGCTGATGCCTGCTTTGGAGAGAGTTTTGAAAATGTACCAGCCGTTAAAAAATTCTTTTTTGAAAGTCAAACTGTATCGGCAATTGACGCTGTGAAAGAAATCAATCAACTTATTGAGAATTTGATCCAGAAAGAAACCAATCAGTTTCTTCCATTCAGTGTTCGTAATTCAATCATAAAACTGATTATTGTTATGTCTGAAGGTGGGCCGGGAGTTAAATAATACTTCCAACACTAGTTGATCAGGTTTTACTTCACTTTTCTTTACAACTCACATTCCCATTGTCCTCTACATGCCATCCCAAATTCACCTCCCAAAAGGTATCTGTGCGCATGCTCGCCTGTGTGGCGGCAAATACAACCAGTATACAACACCCTCACACTGAGATTTTTTTTTCTATATCATATACATTTGACACATCAATTCAAACAGTTTTTTTTTTCATTCCATGTTAATGAACCCTTCTAACAATTGTATACATAAGATTAAATTTCAAACATACTAGTTAAAATTCTTTGTAGACACACACAGAATACATGGACAATTAACAAGATATACATGTACATAATTTTGTTCAACACTATAAAATAGCAAAATATCAATCTGAGTTGGAAAATTGAGTTGAAAACTCTGTGACTTTTCATCACTAGACTTTGAATTNTCACAGGTCTTTTCGAGATTCGTTTTTCTCTTTTTACAATTGAGTTTTTACAAGTGGGAACAGATGAAGATGCAAGCTGTTGATTTGATTCTGATCCATTTGGAAAACTCTGTGACTTTTCATCACTAGACTTTGAATTTATAGTTGTTTCCTCCGAGCTTGTGCTGGGAGCTTGTAAGGATGGGAATTCATTATTATTTGGTAAGCTATTAATACCATTATTGTTTTCACTTGAACAACTGTTTTTCACAACCATGGGAATAACATTCTTTGGTGCTGGTAAGTTAACATAGTAATCAGTTGAAAAATGAGACTTTCCCTGTATGTTGCAAGCTTCATCGTCATGTGCTCCTAGTATTCTCTTGAATTTGGTTGACATGCCTTTTCATGGTTCTGTTGTCCGGAGTCTGACATATGTATGTCTGTCTTCCTAGTTTGGTAACCTTTGCTGGTAATCATGTTTTTTTTGGTTTTGATACATTCTTATATATACAGGCTGATTCACGGTGGATGGCACATTAGACGTTTCTGGTGAACCAGACAACGGATCACTTTGAAAATTTGATGGAGGGCATATTTGGACGATATTTGTAAGTGTGGTTCGATCCCATTAAAAATTAGCATATGGGGGTTTTATAAGTTTCCAGTATGACTAAAAAGAATTGGGCTGGAATATTTGGCGAACGTATTATGCGTAGTATGGCCCCTCCCGATTTATCCCTCTTAGCTTACTTCTTGAGACGTATAATAATCGAATGTCGTCGAATAACCCCAGATATGATTCAAAACGTCAGACAAAGTTTTGAGACGAACTTATACTTATGTAAGGCTGTGAATGAAGGGGCTCTTCGAGCATCTACTGTGAATTAATGTAGTTTGGATTGATCTTAGTTATATTCATGCACAATTTTTCAATTTTCAATTTTTAAGAATGTTAATTTTTTTCAATTTTTTTTCTTTTCTTGTGAATTCTCCACATTACCTTTCAAATACAAAATGAAAAGTTAGGTAGCGAACACTCACATGTCTGAATTCTTGATGAAATTACCTTTTGAATGTATGAGTGTTCAAGTGTTGGGGAGAAAGGTATGACAGGTGAAGAAAGGGGAATTGAAATTTTCTATGTTTTTCAGCACTTACTTGTAACTAACGTTACTGTTTCGTCCTATAAGTTTCGTCCTATAAGGACAATTTCATACTTATACATTAAACAAACAATGATTGATTACATTAGCCCTTATATAACACCACTGTAGGTAGTAATAGAGGTACTTAGCTTGATTGCGTTTACTAGTGACCATGTGTATATGCTAATTTGAAAACCGAAGAGTAAACTAAATCGATTTGATCATTCAACAGGTTGTACCTGCAATGTTTATGCTCGTGAATATCTTGGGATTCCAAATAATTGAGTTTGCAACTAAATTACCGAAACAGAGGCACCAGTATCTAACTCAAATTCAAAATAAATATCATTGATAATAATATCTACTATATAATAGGTTCAAAATTTTTTGAATTCTGATTTAGATTGTACAATTCAAAAACTTCATCGGATGATTCTGAATAATTATTTATATTATTTCTAAATCCAGATTTAGAGCTATTTTTAAGTTTAGAACATTTTACTGCAATATGACCTTTGACACCACATTTTCGAAAAAAACAATGTTTGTACTTGCATGGTGGTGGATGTACTTTCCTGATCCTGCTGCCGTCGGGACGAACGTCTTGCTGAAGTTGCTCCTATCTTGCTGCGGCGGATGGCTACTGCTTTCCAATCTCTTTCCTCCTGCTGTACCTGCATACTTCCTACCTCCTAGGTGATAAACTTCCTGCTCTGCTCGGGTTTCACTTTTAATTACTACCGCTTGACTTCTTTGACTGCTAGCTTCCTTATTTAAAGCTACCATTGTTAGGTAGAGACTTTTTCAGTAAATTTCAATTGTCAGTTAATAATTTAGAAACGGATAATGCCAAGTATTTCTCATCCATTTTTTTTTGTATCAGATGGAGTAGTAGAAAGCCAAAAACTTTCTTTCCCAAAAAAATTAAAAAAATTAATCACTCCTAAAAATATAACCCTTTCAAATCTATTTCGATAGCTTTCTCGAACGTGAGATTTTCACTGTTTTCTTCAAAAAGCCTGTCCTTTATAGGTCCTTTTGGTAAACCACATATGAATGGATCACGCATTACAACTGTTAGTTCATCTTTGAAATCGCATTTTCCTGCTAACTGTCTTATCCGGGCTGCCCATTCTTGTACCGTTTCATCTTTATTTTTCGAAGCGGAATAAAATATTTTTCTGTCTGGAAAAACTAACTTGGCTGGTGTAAAATGCTTGTCAAATAGCGCTATCAATTCCTTGAATGGTTTCTCTGACGGTTTATTCGGCAAATATAAACTGTTTATCAACTGATATGTCGTTTCGTTGCACATATTTAACAATAGTCCACGTTGTTTTTCTTCCTCCTTTATTTCGTTTATTGACAAGTATTGTTCTTATTGTCCTTTATAGATTCTTCAATCACATTCATTTGGATTAAAAACCCTTGAACAGCCTATATACGACATCGCCATTTTATGTGTGAACATACGTATTGTTTAACTAGTTTCACTTTAATCAATTTTGTGATTCCGATCAGTTTTTTATATACCCCGTCGCCACTGTGATGTACGGTACTTTTTATCGTGGGTTTTGTATGAAAGAATTTTCTATGTTTTAACAACCGGTTTATTCTAAATTAAAATACCAACTCAACCAATCGTTCCATATATGAGTGTAAAAACTAATACATGCGCATGGCATTCATATAGAAATATATATACAGAGTGTATTTACAAATATATTACACACACCAGAACAAAAATACTACCTCCCAACGCGCCTGTTGCTAATCAAATTGGCATCATCGGTGTTACGTCTGAAGGTGGGCCGGGAGTTAAATAATACTTCCAACACTAGTTGATCAGGTTTTACTTCACTTTTCTTTACAACTGACATTCCATTGTCCTCTACATGGCATCCCCAATTCACCTCCCGGAAGGTATCTGTGCGTATGCTCGCCTGTGTGGCGGCAAATTCAAACAGTATACAACACCCTCACACTGAGTCATTATACCTCACAGGTCTTTTCGAGATTCGTTTTTCTCTTTTTACAATTGAGTTTTTACAAGTGGGAACAGATGAAGATGCAATCTGTTGATTTGATTCTGATCCATTTGGAAAACTCTGTGACTTTTCATCACTAGACTTTGAATTTATAGTTGTTTCCTCCAAACTTGTGCTGGGAGTTTGTACGGTTGGGAATTCAATATTGTTTGGTAAGCTATTAATTCTATTATTGTTTTCACTTGAACAACTGTTTTTCACAACCGTGGGAATAACATTCCTTGGTGCCGGTAAGTTAAGATAGTAATCAGTTGAATGAGAATTTCCCTGTATGTCGCACGCTTCATCGTCATGTGCTTCTAGAATATTCTCTCCTGGTTGAGCAAACCTCTCTTGAATTTGGTTAATATGCCTTTTCATGGTTCTGTTATCCGGAGTCTGGCATATGTATGTCGATCTTCCTAGTTTGGTAACAATCTTTGCTGCTAACCATGTTTTTTTTTGGTTTTGATAAATTCTTATGTATATAACCTTCCCCTCTGCAAATTCTCTTCTCTGTTCTTCACGCCCTTTCCTGTGAATATTTTGGTGTTTGTTTTCTTCTCCTAAAACTTCAGCTGATGATTCTATACTTCTCCTTTTCAGCTGACTGAGTCTAGTTCTAAGGTCTCTGGAAAACATTGAATAGTAAGGTGTCTTACCTGTGCTACTGTGCACTGATGTTCGGTAAGTTAAGAGAATTCTTGAAATTATGGTAGAAATTTCAATATTATTGTTCCTTGGATCTTGTAATGCTGTATTGAATTTGTTTTTAAATATTTTCACACATATTTCAGCTGCACCATTGCTCTGTGCATGATCTGGTGGAGTTGTTATGTGTAAAATACCATTTCTGGTGAAAAATTGTTTAATGTTTTCTGATACAAATTGAGGACCATTGTCACTCACAACTGTCTCTGGTAATCCAAATCTTGAGAATATATCTCTCAGGACTTCTTCTGTTTTCCTTGATGTCGTGTTTTTTGACATTTGATATACTTCTAACCATTTAGAATAGGAGTCCGTCAAAATAAAATACATCCCCCCTTTTATAGGTCCCAAAAAATCTATATGCACCCTTTCGAAAGGTTTCGTTGCCAAAGGCCAGGCTGTCAGTGGAGCCTTTGGAGGATCTTGTTTGTTTTCTGAGCATATGGAACACGATCTCACCATGTTTTCAATGGCCAATATAACAAAGATCTGGCTGTGGTTTTCATTTTCACCATTCCAAAATGTGATGTGCGCAGTTCCACTAACAGTGCCTCTCTCAGACTTTTGGAATAATGATTCTGTGCCCCCTTGTTAGGATTCTGTTTTCATCACACAGCTCATTTCTTCTGTGGTAATATGGCTTCAACGCTGTGTCGATTTTTTTCGGCCATCTATCCTTTCTCATGTATTGAATTACCTTCTGGAGTTCTGTATCAAGGGCTGTCTTCTGTTCTTTCGGTGAAATTGATGTAGATGTCAGTTGAATTCTCCAGATTTCCTTTTGCTAGTAGGGGTTTCCTAGATAAATAATCAGCAACTGGATTATTGTTTCCTTTAATATATTGGATTTTATAGTCAAACATGGAAAGAAATGTAGCCCATCGTTGCAGTCTGCTAGCAGCCATGTGAGGAATGCTTTTGTGTTCACCAAAGATTGTTACAAGTGGTTTATGATCTGTTCTTAAAATGAATTCATTTCCACACACATATTGGTAAAATTTGTTCACTGCAAAGTAGATTGCCAGAGCTTCAATATGAACTGTACTGTAATTTTTTTCTGATGGTAAAAGAGTTCTGGACACACATGTAACGGTTCTCTCTTCACCATCAATGATGTGACTTAAAACAGCAGATATGCCTTTCCTGCTTGCATCAGTTGTAACAAGTATTGGGAATTTAGGATTGAAGTGCACTAAAGTTGTGTCAGAAGAAATTATTTCTTTCAGTTTTTTAAAACTACTTTCACAATGATCTGTCCAGTTAAAAACATGATCTTTTTTTAACAACTGGTAAATAGAATGAAGAATTTTGGATAAGTTTGGTATGAATCTAGCATAATTTGTAAAACCAATGAAACTGCGCACCTCACTAACACTGCTAACATCATCTGAAGATCTTGATCTGCCAATATCCTCTCTTTCATAAAATAAAATGTAGGCTTCAATAAATTCCAAATATCGCCAGAATATTTAGTGACACACCTAACGTCAAACTTAAACCCGTCCGTTTCGTCTTTGGCCAATGCGTAATAATAACCAGATTCAACACCAGATCCACAGTGGACATTGACTACATGAAGATATAATAGTGGTCTCCTAGATTGAAGTGATCATCCATTTTGCATTTTGGTAAGAGTTTGGTGCTTCCACCAGAGGTTTAATCATGTTTGGAGAGCATCAATGTTATATTAGATTGACTGGTGCCTCAGATATACTTGTTGTTTTATAATTGTCAATTAGTCTGGCGCACATTCGGCAATACAGTTGATCATCACCAGTTGAAAGTTCTATTTTCAGTTGATTCAACAGTAAGCTTTGCAGAGATTGGTTATTAGTCATATCGGGAAACGCTAGTTGGAGTTCCAGAAAGTCACATACGTTTTTGCTACCTCTTGAACATGTAACGTAACATGAACGTAATCTTAATTCGGTTTGTTTGAATGCGTTTGAGTGATGAAAACTAGAAATTATCAGATGAAATTTGAAGAATGAGTGGTATTTGGAAAGATTATTTATTTCACCAATTTGGATGGTAGCATGTAAATACATATTTTTGACAAAACAAGTTCAATTGAAAACTATAGGAGTGTGTTGATTCAACTGGGCAGAATGAACCAGTGTTATTGATTAAAATATGAAAAACGTCACATTTTGACAGGTGAAAAAATAATCATACTGATTTTGGTTTGTCATTATTCAACATTTGATCAATTACATCGCTTTTTTCGTTTTCAATCACTGATTGATTATTGAAAGTGTAAATATCTCTAGAGATTTTTTTTGTTGATGTAGCTCACAGTTTATTCGAATTGCTCAAGAAAGTTATGACAAGCATAAAAAAATGTTAATTTTTATTAATGCATAACAAGAACATATGATCATACCAGTTGTTTTCGGACGAAAAGTCCCCGATATTACAGGGACAGGCCTGGTTTTAGTGAAACAGATTACCAGAAATAAACAGAGAGAATAGAGAAAATTCAAAGTGTTAGAAAACTGTGAAAAGTTGGACCTGAAGATATTGCATGCAAAATGTGAGAGCCTAAGTTTGAACCCAAGTGCAGTTTCGATTTTCTAACTTAGCCACTTTCGAGAGTTTTTCAATTTATTTATTTGGTCATCCCAGAGGCTGGACCCTACTAAAAAAGTCTTTCACTCAGATTTTCCCGATGTAAACACACAATGCTCCTCTGAAATATTAACCATTCAGTCTTCAGGAGTTTTTAGTAGACATAAAAAACATTCAAGAACTGCGAAATATGAAAATGGAAAAGCCTTGAATATGATGAAATCGTATCCCAACTCTCACCCTACACAAAAGTCCTCGCAATGCGTCATGAATGATGTCTTTACTCCAACACACAATTTGGAGATCTTCTGAAAAATACATATAATTCATTTCATTTGAGGTACTCGCATCCTCACACAAATTAGGTCTTCAAATTTATTTGAAATATTCCAATTGCTTTTTAATATATTCAGAGTCCTCGTATCTACACACATCTACGGAGATGTCCTCGTATCGACACACAAATTGAGTCCTCTCAAAGGCAGATATATCACTGTCATTTGTGTGAAATTTTGAATTTGTGTGTCCTCGGAGAAGATGCAGAAATTAGGTAGGAGTGTGTTTATCAATCGATTGTTGCACGCCTAGCGGTGTGTTTGGTGAACTAAGTGTCCGTAGTAACATGGTCTTATGAGGACATCGTCTTTTTTTGATTTATAGGTACATCTGAGGTCGTAATAATACGTAGAATACTAAAATGAAATCAAAAGGTTGCGAGGACGGGGTGTGTGTCCTCACATGACCTATCTGGTACGGACGAAAGTCCTCGCATGGCTACGAATGCCCACTCACATATACACACACACACACACACCAACCAAATGTAATTACGTCATAATGTCACACACACAAAATTTCATATAAAAAAAAATTCTGAATGATCCATGCACTAGATACTTCAAGGTCACATCGCCTTGATGTTACTAAACAACAAAAAAAGCAATACGTCATAGTGGTGGGGGGAGGCTTAGAACCGGCTCAAATCTCCTACTTCGTTGGTCAATTGAAATCCACGATGAAGTGCACACATTGTGGGCACTCATCTGTAACCTAAGATCCGTTTGGGATCGCACAGAACCACGAAGAATTGACCAATTGATTTTATCACAGTGCTTGGATGTGCACAGGAGTGGAAACTTTGGATGGACATGAAAAACCGACGTGTTCAATGCAAGGAAAGAAGAAAATTCACAAAGTCTCTATCGATCCAAAAGTTTCCCCGTATTTTAGTCATTCATTTCAAAAGATTTTCTCTTAAAGAAAAATTCAGAGGCAAGGTAAATGTTGCCATCTAATTTCCTCTAGATGG